TGATGAGCGTTCAAGACGGCCAAAAACTGCGACCACCGCTGATAACATCAAAAATATTCATCAATTGGTACTAGACGACTGTCGAATCAAGGTTAGAGAGATAGCAGAGACTATGGGCATATCGAAAGAACGCGTCATATATTGACTAAAAAACTTGGATATGCGCAAGCTATCCGCGCGTTGGGTGCCGCGCTTGCTCACTTTGGACCAAAAACGAATTCGAATGAACATTTCCAAGGCCCTGTTGAAGCGGTTTAAGCGAAATGAGATTTTTTGCGTCGATTCATAATTGTAGATGAAACTTGGATCCACCAGTACACTCCAGAGACAAAAGAACAGTTAAAACAGTGGACTGCAAAGGGTGAACTTGCTCCGAAAAAGGTGAAGATGGTTCCATTAGCTGGGAAGATAATGGCGACTATTTTTTGAATAGTCACGGAATTGTGTGTATCGACTATCTTGAAAAAGGTGAAACAATAACGAGAGCGTATTACGCATCATTACTTGATAAGCTGAAGACAGAAATTGCAAAAAAACGGCCGCATTTGAAGAAGAAGAAAGTGCTATTCCATCAAGACAACGCACCTGCTCACACTTCGGCGGTTGCCATGGCCAAAATTCACTTCTGCACTTCGAATTGATTGACCACCCACCGTAGTGAATACATCAGATTTGGCCCCCAGCGACGTTTTCCTGTTTTCTAAGCTTAAAGTTTCGTTTGGAGGACAGAGATTTTCATCGAACGAGGAGGTCATCGCATATGTAAACGCCTATTTTGCGGAGCAAGATGCCAACTAGGCGTCTATTTGGAGGAGTTAAAGAGGTTAGAGTATCGATGGGAAAAGTGTATCGACTTAAAAGGAAATTATGTTGAAAAATAAAACTATATTTGAAAAAAAACTTGTTTCTATGTTAGGCTCAAAACTTTTCAGACTACCCTCGTACATTAACATCTCCGCTCGTATCTACATATAACAAAAGCGGTAAAAAAGTTACAGGTATTGGCAATATACCATTCACCATGAAGTTAAATGATAATAAGATCGATTACGTGCATTGGGACAATCTCAACGAGCTGGTGGATCGACTCCAATTACTCGACGCTTCGCATCGAGCTGGTCACAATGCTATGGACAATGAGATACTATCGATCATCGAGAAACTTCGTGAAGCCGGCATTGTTATAAATTAATCGCGTATCGAGGGAAGAAGCCAGTTGATTGATGTCAATGAGGAAAAAACAATTTTAAATCATATATCTTATAATACTTACACATATTACTATTAAACATCATCGAAACATGAGATCATCAAAATCCGATGGACGTAAAAACAAATGTCGTACTCTGAAAGGCGACGACTCGTTGAAGAATTGCTCTGGCAAAAAATTTTCCATGAAGACGTGTCATAATTCGGGGATACGACGATCTGTGGCAGGCTGATATCATCGAGATGCCTCCGTACTCGAGTTTCAACAGAGGTCATCTAATATATATATATATATATCACAAAGATTGAAAAGTAACAGTACAAAATAAATGATAAAATTTTATTTAAATGAAAAAATTTTTATGTAAAAACACTTGCCGCTGCTCAGACCAAAGGAAAATGTAAAATTAGTGATATATATAATATTATATATATCATTAGTTTGTAACGGAGCATCCGAAAGATGCTCCGTTACTAGCGCGCGCTAATGCGGCCCGCACCATCCAAGGCCGCCCGAACACTCCCGACCGGGACCGACCGACACACGTGCGCCGGCGAGCTGTCACGCATCGACAACGTGACAGCTATTGTTTCTTAATAAATGCTAACCAACTAAACGGTGACACGTGGCGCGGATATGGGTATAAATACCCGACAAATTTTAAGAAAAGACACCAGTCCTATCCGCTCCTCCGACCTGTCCGCCACAAACAACCGTTCCGACCAGAACAGCGAGAGAAGATTCTCTCAACGAATACCAAACGTTCTCCGTATTCCTGTTCTATCCTTTCTCGAAAAATCGGAGTTCTCAGCTTTCTCGCTCCGCAACGAATACCGAACGTTCTCGATATTCTTGTTTCTCCCTTCCGGGGAAAAATCGGAATGTTTTCAGATTTTCCTCCTCCCGACAATACCGAGCGTTCTCAGTATTGTCGCTCCATCTCATCTCGAAAGTCGGAGCGTTCTCGAACTTTCCCGCGACATCCGCCCCACGTGTCACGGTCAGCGTCAACGGTTGCCTAGCAACGCACACGCGCGGATCCGGTTGCCTGGCAACGCGCTACCGATACGACTCCCGGCGTCCGACATATCCGCAATCGAATCGTGTTACGAACGTCGCAAAGCGACCGGCAAAGAAAACGACAACGACCGCGCAAAGCGAGAGGCGTCACGAATTTATTGTAAATAAATTAAAAGCCCGGCGGCCGCAACACATCTCACGAACTCGGCATTCGACGAGCGATAACCGAGCGCACGTCCCCGCATCCGTGCCCACAGATAAGATCCGAGCGCGCAGGGACGTACCGTTACAAGTTTTACATTATATTTATAACATTATATATATCATTAGTTTTATATTTTCCTTTGGTCTGAGCAGCGGCAAGTGTTTTTACATAAAAATTTTTTTATTTAAATAAAATTTTATCATTTATTTTGTACTGTTACTTTTCAATTCTTTGTGATAGAAACGTAGAATAAAGGAATTTTGAGATAGAATAATATTTTAAATAATTACTACCACTTAGGTTAGAAAAAGAAGTTCTTAAAATGGATAGAAAGATATACATATAATTGGTTTTTATTATTTTTAATTAAAAATATTACTACTTTTATTTTTAAAACCTTTTAAACCTTTTAAATGATTTATATAAAAGACTGATGGTTTCTGATGGTGTTCTGCCGAGAGCTTACGGACTACCAAAGATCCACAAATCAGGTTTTCATATAATTGTCTCCTCTATAAATAGTATTCTTTGGCCTCCTTTTTACATTCCATCATCTTCAAAAGTATTCCTAAATCGCCCGGTTATATCAGTAACAGTGATCATTTAGTAAATAATCTAAATGGGATCGTTATGTCCTAACTATAGGCTGGTGTCACCGGATGTGATTTCGCTTTTTACGAACGTCCCAACAGACCTTGCGTTATAAAACATTAAGAAGAGATGGGACCTACATATTTAATCATACCAATATTCTACAAAATAAATTTCTTCGTGCTGTCTTTCTTATTTTAGATTCAACTTTTTTTTACATTCAACAATGTTTTACAAACAGATCTTTGGTAGTTTCATGGGCTCGCCTTTATCACCTGTGATTGCGGATATTGTAATGCAGGATCTTGAGGAGGCTGCGATTGCCAAAATTCCTATTGATCTCCCGTTCTATGTCAAATACGTTGACGACATTCTACTAGCTTCGCCTCCTAATCTTCTTGAGAATATTTTACACAATTTCAATTCGTATCATGACAGATTACAATTCACTATGGAGATCAGGAATGATGATCGTATCAGTTTTCTTGATACTTTGCTAATAATTAAAAAGGAAAGGATTATTTTCGACTTGTACAAAAAACCCATCAATTCAGGTAGATACCTTAATTTTTACTTTCACCACCCGCTAGCTCACAAAAGAGGTGTTGTTTTCGGAATGGTCGATAGAACAGTCTTTCTTTCCCATCCTGAATACCAAGAATCTGGTAAATTCCATTAATATTCTTCTGAACAACTTTTACCCTCTGCAATTTATTTTCATAACGATAAATAATCGAATTAAACATTTATAACATAGAAAATTGTAGAATTCAAACGTTGATTTCGGTGTGGATCATTGATAATTCCGAAAATTACACTCCTCGCAAATCATTCTTCTCAGTTCCTTACGTCAAAAACGTATCTCAGAAATTTTTAACAATAACCAATAAATTTAATCTTAAACTAGCTTATTCTATAACTAATTCCCTCAGCACATTTATCAAAACAGGTAAAGACACACTAGATCCGATGGCATGCCCTGAAGTGATATATGAAATTAGTTGCAAAGATTGCGATGCGACTTATGTTGGCAAACAAAAAGACTACTTAAAACAAGAATTAATGAGCATTTCCGAAATATTAACAAAGGCAACAGTTCTCCTTCGGTCATTTCAATTCATAGAAGAGAATCACATCACGAGTTTAATTGGGATAATATTAAAATTTTGAACAAAGAATCATCCTGGAACAAAAGAATAGTTTCGGAAATAATTCATATTAAAAAACAATCTTATGGCCTAAGCAAATAAGCAAAAGTGACACGGATTTTTTACTTAATTGTTGTATTTCCCCATCCTCAATTTATTATCTTCCTCCCACAAACTCCCTCCCTCCTAACATTACATCCCCTCCTAATCATGCTACTTTGAATCATGCTACTCTGAATAGGACCATCATCTCTCTGAAGTACCGGTCGTGGAGATTCGAGAGAATACATATATATACGTATATTGAAATATACGTATATATGTGTATCATTGTATTGTTGATGTTATTCTAAACACGTTATTTGCAATAAATATCATCACATGCCTCGGTAGTCGAAGAGATGCCTGCCCGATAAGCAGAAGATCCAGGTTCGATTCCTGGCTGAAATATTTTTTCGCAAAATAATTACGAGTTTTCACGTTTGGTTCATGGTCGGGCCCCGCTGTGACGCACACCCTCCCTTCAGTTTTTATTTTGTACAAGGTGAATCTTGATCTTATTCCTACACAGACTATCAATAGTTAATTAACATATATTGTTGTTATATTATATCATTGTAATATTATATCATTGTAATTTCCGATTATTCAACTTGCGCAACTGGCTGTCTCCAAGATATTTTATTTTACATAGTTCTAATCTGTATTATCACATTCTTTTTTTAATATGTTATTGCTCTCCTATATATTATATATATAATACGTTATTGCTTTACTTTTTGATGTTGATTAACTTTGATTAGTTTTCTTTTATTTTACTATTTAGGACCAACTTTCGATTTTCTAATTGTGACGTCGCATGATGTTTAAGCATGGTATCTTTATTTGGAGATTCGCCACGATACACCCACATAGATGCTTCGTCGCAGTATCGATTTCAACGACAATTTATCGGACCGTGAGGTAAAGATTTGCTTTTCCGACTCTTTTCACTATCGATGACTCTGTCAAATGCTGCGTAACTTTTGTCTTTATACAATTTTAACACATAACTATGTTTCTTAACTTCATTTTATACAATTTTCACCAATGAAATATACCTAGTTAGGTAATTAATGTGCGAAGCTTTTCTTTTTTTTGACGCGTTAGGATTATTATGATTTTAAATCTTGTTTTTTGACCAAATTCAATTTTTATCATTGAGGATGACTTAATATAAAATCGAAACGACGTTTGTTTATTAAATTCGATTATTAATGTTGTTTATTAGATTCTTTTATTAATTTATGTATTTATTTTCACTAATTATATAATGTTTTGACACATACTATTTTTCGCTTTTAGGCTCCTGATCTTTTATTTATAAAATATAATAAAATATATAAAACATAGTATTATAAATAATAAGAAAATAAGAAGTAAAAAGTAAAAAATATTTAAATATAAGTATATTATAAAAAATATAATAAAAATTTTTTATATCTGTTCTTTATTATTTTTTAATAAGCATATGAGTAGTAAATGGGTAGCCATGGCCCGTCAAAAAAAAACCCCATCATTTTCCCACTGGCGCCAGGGGCGTGGCCTCCCGCTGTCAAAAACTGTCAGTCATGTAGAAATGGAGCGTTCTGATTGGTCGGTGAACGTGGCAGGTAATAATTAGGTAATTAGTGGGAGCGTTCTGATTGGCTGCTCCTATAGCTGTTCGGCGCGTGATTGGCTCTGCTCATAGTTCCCCATGTGTGTGATTGAGGATTGAAATGCCAGACGAAAAAGTAGAGAAAGGGGGAGAAAGTGTCTGGGACCGCCTTTGAGTATATAGACATGGAGAAGGAATTACCTATCTTTCCTATAAGCCGAAAGTGTGTCCAAAGTATGTGCAAGAAAGAAAGATATACGAGTGATACTCGTTGTCTCTGCGTATGCGTCAAAATCGTAAGCAATAGCTTAGTCACTGAAATGGATGAGAAACAATTATTTGCTTATATATTTGACATAATTATTTATCAACATTAACAGTACTCAGTCCATATATCGACGACGTACTTAAATATCAGGATTTGTTGTAAGAAAGTTATTAAGATATATTTGTTACATTTGTGCAACTTTTGTCACTGCAAAATTGATTCAATTTTGATTACTGTCAAAAACAAAGATAATTTAATTTTTCCTTCGGATAATGTCATAAAAATAACACGATGCTCTGAAGCAATTATTCCATCAAATTATAATATAATTTGCACTAAAAAAAATATTAAGACAATTTTTACTATGAAAGGGTTTAACGATGTTTGTCATTGTTTCAGTGTTTAATGACAGTGCAATGACAAAACACATTTTGCAAGATGTGTTTGACAACCATAAAACGCAACTTATTAAAAGCATAATTGTAATTTACGTTAATTTGAGTTTATTCCAGAGGCTAAGTGCGCTACCGATTCAATACGCAAAGTTATATTAGATGTAAGTTGTACACACTCACAAAATTGATTCATTTTAAAAATTATTTTTTTGTGTTATAATGGTATATATTAATATTTCACTATTACATCCTTATATAATATCATTTATGACAGTTCTTGTTATCTATTGTTCTTCATATTACATTATATATTGCTTGCCTATAATATCTGTCAATTTCGATGCATGCGCAGAAAGAACGAGTATCTCATTTGTATATCTTTTTCTCTCGCACATACTTTGGACACACTTTCGGTGCCAATATTCCCCTTCTATGTCTATATACTTAAAGGGGACCGCTCGGGGTCCGAAAACAAAATGGCGTCTGCAAAAAAGAAAGATGGCGGGTGTGTGAAAGGAATATACTTGACGAGAGAATGCGATTGGGGAATTGAGAATGCGATTTTTATGACACGAGGGATGGGAAATTGATGAGCAGAAAGAAATTGATTTTTTGCGGATTTTTATTACGTATATATAGGATATGATAAATCACATTTTCGTAGAACGAAAAGTTCTCGACGCCTCATAGCTAGCGAATTTAAATAAATTTCTCGAGTCGTTTGACATTTTTTTGTATGGAGGAAATGTATAAACGTTTTGAAGATGAGAGATTTTCGGACCTATAATAACCGTTAGAGTTATTTACCGAGTCGTATGATATTTGGGGAAAGAAAACAGGAACGGACAGGTTCGCATTAGAAGTTTTTGATGACGACGAACTTGGAATTATATCATACTTTTATCCTATGACATGTGGGCTGAAAAAATTTTCTGGACATTCCTAGCTTGAAGTAACGTATCTGTAATTGTTAATTTGTGAAAGTGTGATGATTTTATGAAGTTATATTTTACGTTAGAGTAAGGAGAGAGAATGAAAAGAAATATATATTGCTCACAAAAAGTCGATATATTGAAATAAATTTTTCGCGACG